GAACCCGCGACCCTCAGATTGTGAGTCGAGCGCCTTATCCACCTGGCCATGCCGGGCGAGTGTGGAAAGACTGAAAATAATTCACGGTTTAATCGACTGCGTTCTTTATTTCAGAAATATTACACTCCTGAACTCGGAAATAGTGATCTTAAGTAAGTTAATAACAACGTTGAATCCCCTAAGAAATGCGCAAGATTTTGTACTGCATGAAGTATAGGTGTTTTATATTCTAATAAAGATCAGAAATTTTCAAATTAGAGTGCGAGTAATTTTTTTCCTTAGTGTATTCTAATCCCTTTCCTGTAAAAGAAACAAACAGCTTATTTATCATAGAAAGCTAATCTTTCACTCCGAATGGGGGTATTTTTACCTTAGTGGAATAGAGAACCTTCTTGTTATCTGTGTAGAAGGTCTGATATTTAATTTTAAGTGTATTGTAAGCTGTAACACAGAATCTTCTGCTTCGAGTGCCCGTTATTTAGTTCCGGGTAGAGAACAAAATCCTTTAAATATGTAAATAAAATCTGTAGACATTATAAATAGTTAATAGAAGTCTCGCATAGCATCCTATTGTACCATAATATATTAAAATATTAATAACAAACAGAAAGAAACAATTCACCTCCAAGCCTGCTATTCCACAGCCAATACCTAACAACACTGTACTCTCCGCACGGACAAAGCCCTCTAGTTTTCCCAAGCAGCCCTGAAACGGAAATAATATTTAAAGAAAACGTACAGTTATGTAAACAGAAACTTTGAGAATTGTTTTCTCTCTTAAATAAATTCTAAAATGTCTTGTAAATTATTTACTCCAATATAACCTTAGCCTAAGCGTTTTATTTCTCTAATACTATTTAATAAACAAGGTTTAATTATAAAGTTTTACAGTATTAAAACACAATCCCAGTACGATCAATATTGAAACGTAACTCAAGTACGACTAATATTGATACATAATCTCAATACGATCAATATCAAGATATAACCCTAGTGTGTCCAATAAAAACAACAACAACATAAATCTAGTACTATCAGTATTAAAATACAACCTCCAGTATGATTAATATTAAAACATAACCCAAATACGACTAATATTGAAACGTAACCCAAGTACGATCAATATTAAAACATAACCCAAATACAATTAATATTAAAACTTGATCCCAGTAAGACCAATACTGAAACATAACCTCAATACTACCAATATTAAAATATAACCCTAATACGTTCAATAGAAAAAACAAAACAAAAAACAATTCTCATACTATCAGTATTAAAGTATAACCTCCAGTACGGTTAGTATTAAAACAAAATTAATTAAATACATTTTTGTAAATGTAAAATGATGTAGGGATGGTAGTGCTAGAAAGAATGCAAAGAATAATATAGGAATGATACAGCTATACATAGATTATTCCTACATGACTTTCAATATTCAAATTTAATGTTACACTGTAAAATGCACGAGTACAAAATGATTATGAGGTCAGTCAGTTTGACCGACATCGTAACAAGAGTTTGTAATAGTTATTATTATAATCAAAACATGTTAAACTCAACTTCGTTTTCCTTGTACGTAAGTCCTAGGTTCTTAGTTACACTACATTAATTGCCTGCCCTGACATGACCATGATATTATGATAAACAAGCTACATACAAACAGTCAGAAATATATAACTTCCAACTGCAGCAATATTAAAGTCAAGTACGGATTTCACATTGTAACATTAACTTTTAATATTGAAAGTCGTGTAGGAATGATATATGTACAGCTGTATCATCCCTATATTCTTGTTTGCATTCTTTTTAGCACTTCCATCCCTACATCATTTTACATTTACAAAATGTTTTTATATTTGCTTTTGGACGTTTTTCTCCTGACTGGAATGTGTGTAATAAAATTTAATATTATGTGTATTGATTTCCTTTTACTCCTTCATTTCATACACAATATAGGGGTTGGCTCCATAAAGACAACGATTGTATAGTGTAGAATGCATTGAAGAATTAAGTATCTACATGTTACAATCAAATAATGTTCATCTATTATTGGCTGGTAATAACACCATATTTCTATAAGAAAGCTAACTTTAAGGGGTAAGGATAACATGGTTTACACTAGATTTATGATTTTTTAAATTACTACCAGCTATTACGACTAAGTGATGACATCATGCACTGCCCAGAAACACTTAGAGTGGATTTAGGTTTAAACTGACGTTAGTGATAAAATAGTTGTAGAGTTATCTCGACTGAAAGAAGAAGAAGAAAGATGAACAATTTGGTCAGTTGGTTACTTTCTGGTTTGGTATCCTAGCGATGGTTTCTTGCCTTTTTTGGGCTTGTTGGGTATAGAAACAAATGAAAATGAGTAGTAATCATTTTGTAAAGTATAACTCTCTGTCACTGTTGATTTTTAGTGTACATATCTGTATTATGCCTATTGAGTACCTTGGCCATCCCTACATATAGAGACTATCGACTCTGTGATAAGCTCACTACTATCAGTGTTAGAACATAACAAACCCTAGTATGACCAAAACTAAAACTACAACACTTATTTTATTTTCTGGTTACCAAATATATATTATATTTAATCAGGACTTAACTTAAAATGCTGGTTGTAGCTTTAATATTTATTATATTCATATAATACATAATTTCTATTTTACAAGTTGTCGTGACTATTCTAATCATTTGTGTGGAATTTTGGTCGTTCGATTTTATTAATTTATCTACCTCTAGCTAATGTAACAATACAGAGGCTAAGATATATAACAAATTATTCCTAGTGTTTATGGTTAACATCAAATTTCCAGGTGATATCAATGTTGACTGAGCGTTAGAAAAAGAAGTTTAGAAAAAATAATCAGAGAACAAAATTAAGGCTATTAAGTCAGAGATAAAGTTTCTTAATGATTAAGTTACTTTTGAGGAGAAGATTACCAAAATATGTTTACTTATTTAATACAAGTTTGGTTTGCGAAAATCTTATTAGCATTAACCGTTGGTTCGCTGGCAATAAATCAAATAGTACTCATAGCTAATTTACTTTTGATAACGAATTATTAATTCTAAAATTCTCAGTAAACTTACAGCTCACATTTCTGAGTCTGCTACTTAACTAACTACATTGCAGAATAACTGTATCAATAGAGAGGGGATGAAATTGGGTTTGGGAGTACAAACCCAAATGTATTACTAAATCTGTATTTGTGTCTGTTATGACTGGAAACAGATATTGCATGGTTAAAGATTTTTCCTAAAATAGCTTGCTATCATTAAATATAAAAGTTACAAATTTGACCTTGCCGAAACGCGGAGTTTAAGCTGAATTCAGCATTACCACGTGATTTGCTTTAAAATTACATAATTGGAATTCTTCCATAGTACATTTTTAAATATTTTCTTCTTCTGTTTTTTAAATATAATATACTTAAGTGATTTGAGTTTATATTAAACTACAAGGAAAAGTATACTGTAATTTGGACAAAATGTTCCGCTGTTAAGAGCAAAACAGCTTAGGTTGAACAATAAAGACACGGTTCAAAGGGACTTGAGCAATATGAATAAAATATTTTACAACAGCTCTACCTTTAGAAGCTTTACACAATATTTGTTATTACAGTACATTAAAGTCTGAGATTAACGGCCGAAAACGTCGATAGTAACATGTATCCAATTGATTATTCAATTCAACTTATTGGTTATATGTTTTCACTACTCTGGTTTGCTTACATTGTAAAACCTGTTGACTGTATAATTCATACTACTAGTAACTGTATAACGATTAATATTTCACAGTACCATGTAGTGACCAAGTCTGTCTTCATTTTATATGTATTGTTAATGACTACAATACCTAATTATCTTCACTGAAATACATCTTAACTTATTTAAGTTTTAATTGATATGTTGGGCTTGCTTGTGCTCAGAGGTTATACAAAATGTTTTCTTGAGCTATTCCTTGATGTCGAAACCTCGTCTTTTAAAAGTCTGATCTATAATCCCTTAAAACCTTTTAATGTCGTTTGAGATATTCAAGTATCAATCATTAAGGCAATTCGGATTAATTCTTAGGCTTAGCCAACACTGTTGGATAGTAAACAATCTTTATGGCGATATTTTGTTGGGATATTTCTTCAGAAACACAACTTCTGTATTTTGAATAAGATATTAATTGAGAAAACACGTTTTATGAACTTATATTTAAAGTTACATTACAAGTTATAAATATTAACTTCCGATAAGAGCAAGCTACCTGCTAAGAACAAAACTAAAAATCAACCTGATAATAAGTATAAGTAAATGATCATGCTTTTCTTACGTTATTATTTATATAGATTAGAATACATTGTTTCATCAGTTGAATACCCTCGCTGTTAACGACATTTACGGCCGTAATTCCAATCATATCTTGTGAGGTTCGGCCAGCGTTACCCATAATCTTACCTTTTGGTGGCGGAAATTCATGTTCTGCTTTGGATCTTTGGATTGACACATAGTTTCGTTTAGAGGCTTAGGATTTTTAAAAGCATCCACATCATCGTGATTTTTTAGGACACAGCAGGTTTTGCTGACGTTGTCACCTTGGCCAAGGTTGTCAAGTTTCCACTTGGTCTTACTGTAATCCAGTGCCTCTTTAACACCACAGCAATCAAACTTTCGTCAACAAAAAAATAAAATATGTTATAAAAATGATATTACCTCATAAGTTAGACACAAACGAAAAATAAATAAGTTTGTTTTAATTACTGTTTATTTGTTTGTAATTAGGCCCAAAGTTACACAATAGGCTTACCAGTGCTGTGCCCCCCACGGGTATCGAAACCCGGTTTTTAGCATTATAAGTCTTCAGACTTACCACTGAACAACAGGATGGGGGTATATTCATGTCTATTTAGATTGTTGTTTTCGCAGAGCAAAGCTACACAATGGACTATTTGCACTGTGTCCACCGCGGGGAATTGAATTCCGAATTTTAGCGTTGTGATTCTCCAAACGTACAGTCGCCCTAACGGGGGACTCTTATAATTACTGAAAACACTAACTTTCAAACTTTTTAGTGTAATAAAAATCTGTTTAACTGAAATAAGTAAAAAAATATTATTAACAACCATTGGTAGGCTTGTAAAAATACTAAGACGTTTAAGAATTATATAGAACATAATTTTACACGATAACAATCATTATCACGACGTTCCAGTCTATAAAATCAGTCTACAAAAAAAAAACTTACTTGAAAAAATCTTTTCAAATACTTAGTGATGTCGTTGAAAATTATATAGCATACGTTTCTTAATAAAGGTAAAAGTTCGGGTGCTCTTCAAATTCAATATTACTGTTTTTTTTATCAACTGACTCTGCCACCAAACCTGTAAATGTTGCCTACCAGAAGTCGTATAGATTAAAGTAATAACTTATTTGTATTTTTAATTTCTTTTCTTCAAAATATCAGGATACAGGTTTCTGCATTTCTTTTAATTGCGCGGAAGAATACTTTAAAATCTTTATAACAATCGGTATCTACATATGCTACCTCAACATTATCAATATCCACTCCACACAAAAATGATAAGTATTTCCAGGTTTTGGTTAGGAACTACTTTCCTTTTCCTTCTTGCTATCAGTATTAGTTTGGTTGGTTTGTTTAATTTCGTGCAAAGCTACTTGAATGATGTAGCAAAAAATTCAGTATAAAGTATACCGTGTATTTTGAAATGATTATAGACAAAGTAATCCTATCTAATTTTTCTGGAATTAATATTTCTCCACCGTAATGGTTATTCTTATTGCATTTTATTTTGTGCAACACATAAAGACATTGAGGTATTACGGAAACAAGAGAAGCAAAAAAAAAGAAAAAAAAAAAGAGTAAACTTACTTTCCTCCTTGTAACTTTGGTCATTGTGCGTTTTTACTTATTTATCATTTTATTTCATATATATATATATATATACATATATACATTGTAGACATGTAGTAAATGTACAATTTAAACGCGGCATGTAGATATATAGTAATGTGTTTTGTGTAGTTGTGTATGTCTTCAAAAGTCTCAACAGCTCTTATTTTCCAGAAAATAAATGCCTCTCCAGTAACACTTTAAAGATATAAGTTTCTAAATGACCTCTTTTTTTTAAAGGATTTCACAGATGTTGAAAGCGTTATTAGGTTGCTCTTTCTTTGATCATGTGTAATATTGTGAAAGAATATAACAGCACAAGCTGTAATAAACGACTTAGATATATTATCAAACATTCTTAAGTATCAGACTTTTATATTATCATGTAAATATTTATAATTTTAATCTTGGTTTCCTATTTTAAATTGCAACGGTTCGTATAGTATTCTTATGATATATATATACCAAGATATGAATGGGCTTTCAAATCTGAAACAACAGTATAGAAGATAAATCATGTATAATTGGTTGTTGGTTTCTTAAAGTACATTAATTTTAATGCTAAATATTCATATGAGCTTATAGTGTATATATTTACATACACTAAACGCAACATCTTTACGTATGTTAGCCATGTTTTTATTTGAGCTTTATTGTTTTAACTCTTGTAATGTAGGCTACTTCATTCTATTGTTTTCGTACGTTCTCAGGTTTTTAACCCATTTTAGTGCAATTCAACGAAATAAGTATTTCTACTTTTAATATTTCAAACTGGAACAACTTCACTATGGTAAACTACACATTTGGTATAAATACTGCTAGTAGAAAATGTGTCTATATTTTTATTGAAATGGTGATTATATCCGTTTGAGTATTTCTGTTTATGTTAGCACTACATTCGATATTTATTTATATGCATATTAACGTACTTTTATAGACGCTCAAAATATGACTGAAAATAATTAGAATATCACTATACTTTGGCTTACGACTTGTCCCAGAGCTATCACAAAACTTGTATTTGCCATTAAGTTGCGCTAACATTAACTAAGTTAGAACTAACAACGTGTCAAGATCTCACTGGACAACAGCCACTTGGAAAACTAATATGATGCGAGCTGTGGTTAATAACGAAACTATCAGAAGGTGTGACTCCAAAATCAGAAACTATAGGTGGCGATACCAACGTAATGAGTAACATGATTATTGAAAAGAACACACATTGAGTATGGTATGAATTCTTTATGAACTTAAACTCACAATTCTGAGTTCTGAAAGCGAACTAGAATTTTTCTGAACAGTTTTTGTTTCGAATTAACAAACATAGCATGTACGGATGTTGATACGTTTTCCTGGTGCTTTTGTTTTTTAGGTAATTCCAGCCGCCTTCAGTGACAATAATCAATGTGTATACACCAATAAACCAATGGTGTCTTACCACTAAACTGGTTTATTTCTGTTTTCCGAAGCACTTTACAATTTCTAGTAGCTACTTCTCAACTGTTACTGTACTGTAAACCTCAAGCCAATTTGCTCATTTACTTCGACATTCATTATTTCATGCTTCAAAAGTTTCTAGGTCAAGTCCCCCGGTAGGACAGCCGTAAGTTTATGGAGTTAGAACGCGAAAATCCAGGATTCGATTCCCTGCGGTGGACAAAGTAGATAGCTCAATGTGTATTTCCTCGAAAACAATCAAACAACTCTAGGTCAATTGTGTAACTAGAGCCGGAAGACAGCACATAGTCATCATTATAATCCTATGGACTGTCACTAAAAAGATGCTGTAAAAATTTCGTCATGAAATGTTACTTGACATGCATCCTAAATGTTTATTACTCACTGGACGAAATTAATAGGGATCAAATTCCTGTAATTTACTTTGCGATTGGCTAAATCATAACTCTCAAACTATTGATGAACGAGAAATTGTTTGCTTTTTGTGACAAAATGTAAAAAATAGCAAGGTGTGAAAACAAGGCACAACTCCACAACGGCTCCTTGAACAAGGGACACCTCCACAACAGACTCCTGGAACATGGAACAGATTTACAACGACCCACTGAACATGGAAAAGCTCCACCATAATCCCCTTGAACATGGGGCAGCTGCACAAATTCAAACAGTCTCCTGGAAAACGGGAGCTCTCCAACATGCACGCCACACATCTTAATTTCGAAATGTATTCAGCAACACCATGTCTACAACTAATTAGAGTTCTGAGAATTATTATACCCCCTCTTACTGTACATCTCCAGAGCGAGTTTGTTCACTGCAAACATCCCTACACAACCAGCACGAGTCTCTGGATGGAGTTTTGAGGGAACGCTTCCTCATTCCCCCATAAAGGCATTTTCCAACTGATCCAGTGTGCCTAATAGGTAATTGAGTCATGGACTCCGTCTCTGAAGTTGGACCAAGATGATTTCTATGGGGCTGAGATCATGAAAAGATGCTGGCCATTGCATTTTCACAATGACTTCCGTAACGATATACGTTCGGTGGAGGCAAACATTATTATTCCATTAACATGAAATCAGATTCAATGGCGTCATCGAAATTCTTAGTGATGTACATAGCAGTAAGTCTATCGGAGCAGATGATTCCATACATTATTAGAGCGCCACCTGGATCCTGTCGTTTACAGCTACCGCGGGGTCGAAGAAGCGATCTTCACACATAACATGTCGGAAGATAGACATAAACTTTAGTTCGAACTTTTATTAGACAATTTTTGTTTAAAGTAAAAATCCTTCTAAAGCAACAATCCGTAAACATAGGATTGTTCTAAAACGCATCCTTGATATGTCACATTTTCTAATTTGAGAGAGAGACACGACGGCTCAGAAATGTCAAAAATTAAAAGCTGGACGCAGCTATTTCAAATGAATTAGGTATCTATATTTATGCTTGTTAATAGATATATATGCGTAGTTGTGATATAAATAGACTATTTGTTATGACTTAAAGTTTAATAAACTATTTTCAGTAATACAGTTTTACCTATCACAGATCAAGCTGATGCTTTTGTTTGTTTGGAGTTAAGCTACACAATGGGCTATATGTGCTCTGCCCTCCACGGGTATAGAAACCCGGTTTATAGAGTTATAAGTCCGCAGACACACTGCTGTGACACTGGGGGCAGGCTGACGCCACTGTCGAACTAACTGATTTTATTTTTTAAATAACAGTGATTGTGGATTTCACAATATGGACTGCAGGGCCAATACAGATACATCATCCTTTTATTGTGGATGTTAGATAATCTGGTAACATTGACTAGAAGTAGAATATGTCGACACTGGCGTTCAACAAAAATTCCTATCTGTCTATCTAAAAGGAGGAAAATGAAGAGAATAAGAGAACAAAGAAAAACAGAGAGGTTCATATATATATATGTTATGAAAGCTTGACATAGTTTTCGTTTTCTTTGTACAGATTATTACGTAACTGACAGAAGTGCTGACAAATTAATCTCAGTATATGTCTCATAATGTGGAATGAATCCAAGAACTTTCTTAAACAGAAGGCTTGGGTTTAAAGCTAGAAACAATTTTTCAACCAACACAGAAGGTGGTTTTGACGTGAATTCAGGTTGAAAAAATCCCACATAAAATTGGGAAGGAAATGTAAAAAAAACAACATTTTTTTAGGAGAAGCAATAGGTATAAAAATTTCTGCGTTATTGATCACCAAGACTATTTTATCGTTATTTTTTTCTTTCAAATGTATGTTATCTTTCAGGAAAGCGATGCGGAAAAACTACGCTTGGCATCATCCTATCTTTCTGAGAACTTTTTTTTTTTTTTGAAAACAAAATGATCGCAAATAATAACTACAAAATTCGGGGTATATGTCTTTTGGCTTGCAGTATCTTAGGCAAATAACTTTTAACAATCATACGCCAACTAAAAGAATTAGACCAACTGTAATAAATCAAAATTTTCTCTCGAAACAACTATCTAAGTTTTTTCAGTCAACAAATTCCATAACTACTTTTGAAAAGTACACTGATTAAAAATTTTATTTTAGATTTACTCAGGCTTTATTAGACCACTAGTATGTAAGTTCTCAGAAAACAAACCTATGGTAAACCAATAAAAGTCTAATATTTAAAATTATTTTATTTACCACACATTATATATGTGCAAAATGAACTTATTAAGAATTTTCTTCATTTTCCAGAAATGTGAAGTTATTTTGTGAGTAGTGTGTTATTTTGTATATAATAACTCTGGAGTGTCAATGAATAAGTTTATATCTATTGATGTCCAAATGCGAGACTTCTCTTGTAAAAAAAATTCTAGATAGCTTTTTCTTGTTAGTAGGATATATCTGATTACAAGGCGATCTAGACCTGACCTAGAAACAATTATCATGTACAAGATATGTTCAGAAAGAAACTGGAATTTCACTACAGTACACTGTATATGAGGTAACTATTATCAACCAACAAATATGCTAATTAGTAGATATTTGTGCGCTGCTACAAGAAATTTTCCCGCCACCTGATTTGCCAGGGCCGGTATTACTTGTTGTGTATCAACCTTATAGTTCTGACATTCCACCCTATGATTTCAATCTTTAAGATTTTTTTTCCAAGTATGGTTTGTTTGAAAACACTTACACGCAACTGTACACAGTTGGATTCATAACACCGCGCACCAAACTGCTGTGATAAAACTGGAGAAAATGTGTTGTTCTCAACGCCGCCTATGATGTCTAGTTCCACACTGCCACTGGTGTACGTTTTATTGATATAGTTGGGTTAAGGAAATATAATCCTATTTCTTTCTGAATAACCCTTTTGTACATAGTTTGGACCATCCACTAGTGGACTACTAATTCTCCAGGGGAGAGAAATAGTGCATAACTTTAGACTTGAATTGTACAGTACCTATAACTACAAAAAACTGTTAGATAAAATTTTGGTTTTGTTATAGGAGCTTAAAGGAAAATACGTTTATGAAGCCTTATTCTGAACCAATGATTTTATTTATTTGGATAATATTATTATATTTTTGCCGACCTTTGCTTTGGCCCATTTTAGGGCTACTGATGAGGAGCGATATAGTCTGAAATTTGCATAGTCTACTGAAGAGACAGAAACGCAGGTTTCTTGACAGAAATCGAGGGGTTCCACAGGGTTCTTCGGAATCCAACAGTTCCACATATTCTAATGCACAACTACAAATTAGTCACATAACTGCAATCCTTCAACATCATATTTCGTTATTAGTATACCAACAACATAACAACAAGTCAGTGCATTGTTTTAAATTAGTAAGCGTGACTAGACACAAACAGTTCTTAGTATTGTACTATTTTTTTTTTTGTAATGAATGCTGTGAAGGGTTCCGTGACACAAATTTGACGCCACAAGAGTTCTCTGGATTAAAATAAGGCAGAGAACTACTGGTATATAGTAATATTGTTAACAGAACACACCTACCCTTGTTTGAGCCAGATCAATTGATTCAGTTATGGTCTCATCCAATCCATATTTATTCTTCAGTTTTGATGTCACATTGTCTTCCAGGCCTCTGATTACCTACAGTTATTTAAAAATAGTCTTAGCCTTGGAAACTTCTCACTTTAACAAACCCACATTACCGACTACAATAACAAAAGCTTGAGGATTTTTTAATCGTTGAAAACTTTAACATACAATTAAAAACTTCTCCCCGTATTAAAAGCTCTGGCCATAAAGAATATATGTTTTTAATATCAAAGGGCTTTATATGCAACTTAACCCTTAAGTTTTAAACCCAATTGTGTTTCTATAAAATGTAAATACATGTCTTTGTGTCATATTTTTGTCATCGTTTTTACTGGCCATGTTTGTGGTCACTACGTATTTTTATTCAAATGTGACACCAGTAAAACAAGGTATTACAAGGTGTGAGACCTCGAAATGTAATGTTTGTAGAGAATCGTCATATACATTCCTATACAATCTGATAAAAAAGTTAGCACACAAGAGGTGCAATGAATTAAAAAAAAAGACTCAAAACTCGAGTGCTTTCGAATAGTTGACTATTCTTCCTAATCTCCTGAAGGAGAATTGTCAGCCATTTGAAAGCGCTTGAGTTTTGGGTCTTTTTTGAAGTACATTCATATGCCATTATCTCCATGCAGAAGTTGCACAAGTAAAAAATATTCATATATACCATTTTATATAAATAAACAATAATAATAAGGATACAAATTATGAAAAATTTAAAACAAAGTTTGATTTCTAATGTTGAATGGCTTATGAACAGTCAAGTTAAGGTTTCTGTTCCAGCATGAAGCTAAAAATTAAAATAAGTTCGTACATTTGCTGTTTAATACAGTTTTTAAAATAACTTACTGACATAAAACCTATATGAAACATTGTTTGTAATTGGTTTATATTGATTACCTCTAATACATGTGAGATTTCTGTTTTGAAAGCACATAATGATTACGTTTAGGTTCAGTCATCTAATCAAAAGCACATCTTTCTGAATATTTAACTTAGCCTTTTGAAAATAACCATGGCTTATATTCACTACACTCATGTAACTAGTAGAGACTCTGAAAATACATTTCAAGATGTAGAGTGTTCGAAAGAGCTACTGAAAAGACAAATATTTCATAAAATGCCGAAATTTACAGAAATGAACATTACGTTTTAATTCAAATTCCTCACTGATTATTTGTCATAACTTTCTTTCTAGGTAAAAAAAAAATCAAGAAAGATAATATAAACAGAAAAAAATGTAAATTGGATTCGCGTTGAAAAAAACCCAACAAAAACAAAATATTTTGATATTCTGTACACGAAACGTATAGCAAACGACTGAGATGTTAAACATTTGTAGAGAAAATACCCTAAATGAGTCTCGTTAGTTTATACTAAAGGCTGAAAAACAGGTTAAAATATATCGTGTGACAATGTATCTTAAGACGATTTGATGAGTCATTCTTAATTTTGTCTTTATACTACAATGTATGATTTAAAAAAAAATTAAGGCTTCAAAATTGTGTTCTATCATTATTATGCTTTATAACAGATTTATCGAAGAGGATTGTCAGAATAGAGAGTATTCATCACACGGCTTCTTTGATATTGCTCAAATGTATGATATCATGCGGGTATTTGTTGGGCTATTTGCGAATGATATCGTAACGGTTTTTATTATTGGGCGGATCCTGTTGAATTATTCGGAAAATAAAAATGTAAAGTCTAGTCCACTTAATGACAACAATTTTTTTTGTTTCCACAGAATTAAGGAAAACAAAGACAATTGTACGTATCACAAATAATTCATTTATTACGACCATAGGAAAATGTTCTACGTGGGGAAAGGGGTGAGCTTTGTTTGCCCGAAATATTTTTTAAAGCAAAGAAAAAAAGTAACTTAGTCTTTGGAGAAATGAATTAAAGTAATTGATTAGTCGCGTGATTGTCGACGAAACTTGCCCGAATATTCACAAAGGGGCAAATCTGAGGGGACTGCAGCCCCTTAGCCTTCCATACCGTACGCTTATGACTTACGACCATGGTTTCAGTCAGTTAACTAACGGTCAGTGATATACCTAAATTCACAATAGACACTAAGACAATAATTTCACTTACTTGTTACTTTTCACGACATAGGGTATCTATTTCCTTATCGAAACACAAAATGATTATTTAAAGCACTGAGCCAACTAAGTGACTAATAAGTTAACTAACTCAATAACTCACTCCAACAGATTCAATATAAGTTATAAATAGACTCAATAATACAGTATTGGCCTGAATTTAAGACGAGTCTTTTTTTTGGACCGAGCCGGTGCTAGAGATTTAACAATTATTATAATTTAATTCAGAATTTACTTTGTATATCTTCACGAGATTTGGCATTCCTTTAGTAAACGTAAAGCTTATGTTGTACACCAAAAATCAAACTTTTAGATACAATATAATGAAAAGAATGGTTGAAAAACATGAAATAAATTGAGTAACACTTATTTCCTTTTCAATATTGATCGCCAAGTTACAAATTACTTATATTCACAGTTTAAACCTATATTTCTTCATTAAACATGTTTTCTGTTTTGGTTTTATTTTTCCGTATGGTGCTGTAACCACCTCGGACAATGATGAGTAAAGAAACGTTTATTTTTTTCCATTGTTTGCCGAAGTTGCTTTATAATACTGTCTTATTAATGCTTTGGTCTCCTTTGCATTTTTTAGTCATTGAAAGTATGGTCACCTTAAATTCGGGTCACTACAGTAAAAAAATCACATATTGTAGTCTAACTCGAGTTTTACTCTGCTGCTCTAACTCTTCTAAAACTTTGGAGAAAATTCTAGATGTATGTCGCGAGATCATCATGTGACGTCAAACCTCCCTGTGGCCAAGCAATAATACAATCGTCTAAATTAAAAACATAGTAAACATAATTATGTTAATCCTATTTTTTAATATATAAATAATCTTGACTGTAAACGGAAAAGCCTAATTTTAATGCCTTGATTTATACAAAGTCTTTTTTTTTTCTCTTACAACCATATGTTTCTCACCTTGTTTTGGAATATAACTGCCAAGATCCCTACGGCAGTCTCGCACCCAAGAATGAGAAAGAGGAACACGAAATACTATAGAAAAGAAAACTACGTGAAAATGTAAACTTCTAGAATGAAAACAATGTTTATAAAATAAATAACCCACATTAACTATGTATATATATTGAGATTAATATACACAAGTTCTTTGTGTTCGTTTTTTCGCGCTAAAATACAATTTGTTAAATTTGATTAATTGTTGTATAAGTTTCGGTAAAAAAACAAAACAAAAACACTATTTATACAATGATATTATGTGGTAATTATATATTTGCTTTTATAATAAAAGTATAATGTAAGTAGATGCTGCAAATTTATGACACCATGAATAATACAAAAGAGATTATGCTAGAAATAAACAACCTTATAACACCAAAATGTTGTTTTGATGTAATTACACACTCAACGTTTCGCTTTACAGCTCCTTCAGGAGCGTTCACTAAAACACAAACCGAAACTTACAGTACAAAGTTTCAAATCTGTCAGTTTCAGTTTGTATTTTAGTGAACGCTCCTGAAGAAGTTGTAAAGCGAAACGTTGAGTGTTTAATTAAATACAAAATTTTTGTGTTATAAGGTCGTTTATTTCTAGTATTAATATGTCTTCTCTATACACAAATATGCACTATAGAAATTGAATAAAAGAGATTACGCTTTTGAAGCAAAAACAAAGTTTATTGTTTTGAATAATTACAACCGATGTATTTTACTATGGAGAAAAATACACAAATGGTCATAAATAATTCATTTAGTTAAAAAAAAATACGTTTAGTTAGTTATTTGATAAAGCTGGAACTTGGAATAAAGATAACGGACCACTGTATTATTACATTGGTCTGGTGACAGTACGACTGCAAATGTGCAATTTGTCTGTTTAATAGATGATAATGAATTTTTGTTTCTATGATAAAGTTTTTAGGTTAATGAACGTGTAGTGTTAATTTTAAAATCTTTATCACGAAAGATCAACCATTAGTCAGAACAAACAGTGTTATATCGTTGGTTGTTGAATTACAAAGCTACACTTGGAATATCTGCGCCAGCTGTCCCTAATTTTGAAATGATAGACTAGAAGGAAGGCAGCTAATCAATGCCACCCACCGTCAACTTGTGGACTACTCTAATCGAATAGTGAGATTTGACCGTCACTGTTATAGTGCACCCGTTGCCCCAAAGTGCAGAGAGCGATTTTTTTTTTTTTGGCGATAAGAGAGTGTGAACCACAGAACTTCGGATCAACAGTTCGGCACGCCAACCTTTGTGGAAAAGTGTTATCAACAATGTAGCAGGAAGTAAATTATTACATGTCATTGTGCATGTACATTGCCTTAAACCCAGTTCAGTAATTCTTAGAAATTCCGAATGATTGATTTACAGTGTAATAAAAATAAAGAAATACAGAAAAAACTAACTTTAATGCAACAAATAATGTTTGGTCCATTGACAACAAATAGGATATGAGGAGCATCCCTTGATGTTTTTACACAATTACAAGATTCCTACTTAACGGCTGAGCGTGCTGTGCTCACCACGGGTATCGAAACCCAATTTTTAACGTTATAAGCCTACAAATCGAATTTCGACACCTGCCCATTGTGTAGCTTTGTGTTTAATAAAAAAAAATAACGCAATATTTGTGTAATCGCTGAAAAAATCACGCTCTCTCTAAAGCTGCATAAAACAACAGCATAAATAGTTCAGATTTAAAAATAATAAAAATAAGTACAAATACGACATTCATATATGTCCTGTGGCTTTATACTTTGATTGTCCTGGAGCAGGGGAGTGACCGTTGGTATAGGAACTGCGCAGAAATAAGAGTATAAAACTACTGTATTGTAACAGTATGGAAAATATATATCGCAGAATTGCACCTGTATGCCTGGAAAAGATATACTAATTATCATACTACAACTGTTTTAATTAAAACCGAGATATGAACGTTTATAATGCATATGTGTATAAACAGGAAATATGGACATTTATAATGAACGTTTGTACTGAAGGTATACGGAAATAAGAATATGAACATGTATACTACACCTGCATAGAACTTTGAATACGAATGTTTTCATTGTAGGTTTAGAGAAGCTAAAGAATAGATATTTTTGTTGCTCAGAAAGAGCAATATGGGCGTTTGTACGCTGTTTTTCCAAAAGTATTTAGACACTCTTTGAGTATGTGACATAGCTTATCCATCATGATGTGTAAGGGAATTCAGTAAGTAAAATACGGTGGCATAATGGTTAGGTATGTTAGTAGTATGGAAGTGTGTGCGAAATGCCAAACTTTATGGATTAAGGGAATTTTGAAGGCAAGGGATTATAAGCCACTGGAAATGTGGAAAATCAGCACGTGAAATAGTCAGAATTCTGATATATGCACGATAAATTATGCGAGGCCTAAGTCAATAGTATTAGGAAACTAATGATACAAAATCGAAGAACGTTCATGTGACTGAAAGTGTTGTCAGAGAAATGGGGGGAGGGAACTTCCTCTTGTTCGATTTGTGAAAAGAAAAGTGACAGAAGTGATCTTTGGAACAAACTCACTGCACCCACTGTGAATGGATACCGTCTGTCACATCTCTGGCATGTGCTCTCCATGAAAACGTGTAGTGTGGAAGGGTTGAGATGTGCAATTTATAAATCACTAATCACTAGAAGAAAGATTAGCATTATTTTGCTTAATGCAAAGCCTGTTCATAGACAACAAATTATTTACGACTATTGGCATATTTTGTGAAGTAATGAAAGATGGCATGTTCAGTTTTGAAGTAATGGCCAAATCTAAATGTAGTAAGCAGTACTGAAAGTAGATAATGCTTTTTTGATAATGTTTACGGAGATTATTACTTTGTGAAGAAAATAATTTATGCAATACTAATGATTTTTTCATCCTAATAAACAACAAAAAATATTTGTTTAATGCATGTTACGTTCCAGCCTTAGGCCTACTAACTGTAAACGTCCATGTATGTGTTTGTTTTCAAACACACTGCTACACAATGAGGCATCTACTATACGGGTACCGAAACCAGGTTTTTTAGCTTTAGAAGCATTCAGACATACCGTTGATAGGCTCTTGTATATGAAGGTTTTTATTATGAACACGTTTCAGGTATCTTTGTGCAGATCTTAGCGAGTAATCCAATGTATTGTTTCAGTAAGATAACGTTTCTTGATACAAAACAAAACACGTACGATCTATGTTTTAACTTTAAAATAACAATATCAGCATATTGAAATGGTTCACCTAATATCCATTACCTGAAACATAAAAAGTGAGCATGGAGTCATCTGCAGGGGTTATTTTGAAAAGTTAGATAAGTGTAATTAAGCAGCTGTCGAAACCTAGCTGAGAGTATGCTTCACAGATTCACAGTACAGCTAATCATTCCAAGTGCAGTGCTCCCCCCCCCCCAATCAAGTGGCACAGCGGTATGCCTACGGTTTTACAATGCTACAAACCGGGTTT